GTCCCTCAGCTCTTTAGCTCAGGGCTAGCACTCTACCACTTGAGCTATAATGCCACTTCTGGTTTTCTAGTGGTTTATTGGAGATAAGAGTCTCACAGATTTTCCTGCCTGGGCTGGCTTTGAACCATGATCCTCAGATCTCAGCTTCCTGAGTAGCTAGGATTACAGGCATGAGCCACTTAGCCCGACTTAGCCTCAACTCTAAAAGCTATTAACCACAGGGAAAAACACCTTCACTCCTCCAGGCTTCAACTAGAACTTCATTGACTTTCATTTATTATACAAATTAGACATGTTTTTTCTGGCCTGTACTGAAGCTTGAACTCAAGAACTGGGCACTGTCCCTGAGCTGCTTTTGCTCAAGGCTAGCACTCTACCACTTGAGCCACAGTGCCACTTCTGGCTTTTTCTATTTATGTGGTACTGAGGAATTGAGCTCAGGGATTCATGCATGCTAGGCAAGCATGCTAGGCAAGCCACTCTAAGCCACATTCCCAGCCATCTGAGCTTCTTTTGCTCAAGACTAGAGCACTACCACTTGAACCTTAGTGCCACTTCCAGTTTTCTGGTGGTTTACTGGAGATAAGAGTCTCACAGACTTTCCTGCTCAGGCTGACTTTGAATCATAATCCTCAGATCTCAGCCTCCTCAGTAGCTAGGATTACAGGTGTGAGTCACCAGCACCCGCTTAATTTCAGCTTTTTATTTTTTTAGCCAGTCATGGGGCCTGAACTCTGGGCCTTGGCACTGTCCCACAGATCTTCAGCTCAATGCTAGCGCTCTACCATTTGAGCCACAGCGCCACTTCTGGCTTTTTCTGCTTATGTGGTGCTGAGGAATCGAACCCAGGGCCTCATGTATGCAAGGCAAGCACTCTACCACTGAGCCACCTTCTCAGCCCTAACTTTAGCATTCTTGATAATCCAAATTCTAAGTCTCCTCAACCTAGGAGGGATATCAGATTCTGACAATGTTTCAGAGGCACAAAAATAGCAGAAGTCTTGTGTTACAGGAGAAAGAAAAGGAATTTGGCATGGTAGCACACCCCTATATTCCCAGCAATTGGAAGGCTGAAAGCAGGAAAATCACAAGTTTCCAGGCCAGCCTGGGCTATAATACAAGACCCTACCTATCTCAAACAACAACAAAATAAACCTCCAAGGGAGTATGAGAGTTAGTTCTTATTTCTACTACCATTACTACATGGAGCAAACTTCAGCTTTCTGGAACATTCCTTATATAGAACTTTGCCCAGGGACAGGAAGTTTCAGTATCCAGGTATACAGTTGGGAAGACACACATGCCAGACACACACAGAATTCAAAGGGACTGCAGATGTGGAGGTATCATCCCCAAAGCACACCCAAACGACCATAAGAGATCAAGCAAAAGGAAACATCAAAAACAGAGCAGGGCTGGGTACTTGTGGCTCGTGCCAGTAATCCTCACTACTCAGGAGGCTTAAATCTAGAGATCATAGTTCAAAACCAGCCTGGGCAGGAAAAGTCTGTGAGATTCTTATCTCCAATTAACCACCAAAAAGCCAAATATAAAAGTGTGGTTCAAGTGGTAGAGCATCAGCCTTGAGCAAAAAAGCTAAGGGATGGATAGCACCCAGGCCCTGAGTTCAAGCCCTAGTACCCACATTCCAAAAAAAAAAAAAAAAAAATCTTCGCTATTCAGGACACAGATCTGAAGATCATGATTCAAAGTCAGCCTGGGCAGGAAAAGTCCATGAGACTCTTATCTCCAATTAACCATCATAAGACCAGAAGTAGAGTTGTGGCTCAAAGTGGTAGAGCACTAGCATTGAGCAAAAGAACTCAGGGACAGCGACCGGGCTCTGAGTTCCAGCCCCGCCAGAGCAGATCTTCCAGCCTCAGTCCTGGTCTCCTCCTGCTGGACTGGCTGCCATCACTTTATCCCCATCCCAGAACCCCCCCAGTCAGGGTAAAGTAGACTCCCACCTCATTCTCGTAGACCAGCAGCTGAGCCTGGCAGAGGAGCAGGTAACGATCTTTCCAGAGACCCAGGAGGCCCCCACTGCTCTTCTTGATCCAACCAGCCTTGTCCGCAGTCCGTGCTCCATGAGGCTTCTCGCCCCCGTCCTTCACACCCTGTAAGACAGCATCAGATCATACCATGAGGGCTGTTACCCTGGGCCACGTGGGCTAGAGACCACACAAAGGATGTGTGTCTATGCTGGGTCTTATATGACGTCCCCAGATCCCCAAAGGCAGATATGCCTAATCCAGTATCAGAAACAACAGTTTTAGTCTCACTCTTACAGCTACCCTCCAAGGTGCAAGCCTTGAAGTTCAAGAGAGTTGACTTTCCAGAATCATGTGGCTGGAGGCACAAAGACAAAATTCAAAGTGGGTCTCTGTTACTCCTTCTCATGTTCATTAAGCCAGTCAACAAACATACTGAGTACTTGTAACATCAAAGAAAAGTAACAGTCTCGGCCATGTTCTAGTAGCACAAGCAAATAATCCTAGCTACTTGGGGGCTGAGAATTGAGGATCACAATTTGAAGCCAGTTTGATAGACAAGTCCAAGAGACTCTAATCTCTATTCTTTTCTTCTTTTGGCCAGTCCTGGGGCTTGAATTCAGGACCTGGGCACTGTCCCTCAGCTTCTTTTGCTCAAGGCTAGCACTCTACCATCTGAGCCACAGCACCACTTCTGGCTTTTTTCTGTTTATGTGGTACTGAGAAATCAAACCATGGCTTCATGCATGCATGCAAATACTCTACCACTAATCACATTCCCAGCTTCTTATTTCTAATTAACCAGCAAAAATCCAGAACTAGAGGAATGGTTCAGATAGTAAAGTCCCAACTATGGGCAAAAAAAGCACAGAGTGATAGTAAGACTCTGAATTCAAGCCTCAGTACAAGCACAAAAACTGTTATAGAGTTCACAGTAGGAGGAAAAACAAATTGAACAAGTAACACCCAGGCACACATATATTAACCAATGTGAAATGCTACAAAGGATAAATAGGGGCCAATGACCCCCAGGCTGAGGTAGTGTAAAAAAGGCTTCCAAGAGGAGAGGATGGCCAGGTACCAATAGCTTATGCCTGCAATACTAACTCCTGAAGAAGCTGCAGATTGCAGTTCAAAAACAGAGGAGGCCAGGCCCTAGAGGCTCACACCTGTAATACTAGATACCCAGGAGGCTGAGATCTGAGGATAAAGGTTCAATGCCAGTTCAAGCAGGAAAGTTCATGAGCCAGAAATGCAGCTGTGGCTCAAGCCATAAAGAGCCAGCCTGGAGCAAAAAAGCTGAGGGACAGTCCCCAGGCCCTGAGTTCAAGCCCCAGTATTAGTGCACACACACGCACACAAACAGCCACCTAAGGCAGAAAAGTTGTCAAGACTCCATTTCCAAAATAACTAGCAAAAAACTGAGCTGGAGGCATGGTTCAAGTAGTAGAGTACCGACTGATCAAGCAAAGCCCGAAATTCAAACTCTAGCACACACAAAAAGAGGATTACCAGGATGGGAGGGACTAGGCCAAATGACCATCTGCCTCTCTACTCCTGCCCTTCTAATGAACTCACTCTGCAGCTCAGGCATCTTGCCCCAAAGCAGAAGGAATCCTCTGTCCGTATCCCCACCCCAGGCCAGGACTGCTTCCTAATCTAAGTGAGCAAACTGGGGCGCTGATGGCTCATGCCTGTAATCCTAGCTACTCAGGAGGCTGAGATCTAAGGATTCAAAGTTCAAAGCCAGCTGGGGCAGGAAATTCTGTGAGACTTTTATCTCCAATTCACCACCAGAAAACGGGAAGTGGCACTATGGTTTAAAGTGGCAGAGTGCTAACCTAGAGAGAGAGAGAGAGAGAAAAAAAAAAACCTCAGAGACAGCACCCAGGCCCTGAGTTCAAGCCCCACAACAACAACAAAACAAACAAACCAACCAAAAAAAACAGAAGTCTTCCTTCAACCATTGCGGGTACAAGGAGCTAAAGTCAAGCCTGGATAGACAGGGAAACCACAATACCACCTCAGGGCCAGCCAGGGGCATCTTGTGTCCTGTCTGCTTGGTTGGCTGGGTACAGAGTACATGCCTATCACATGGGGTCAGATTCACACTCTGGGTTCCCAAGCACTCAAGTCCTCTCTTGAGGACCCAAGAAATATCTGTGAGATGAAAATAAAAAAAAATAAAAAATAAATCCACCCCAGTTTGGTACACCATTTTTGCTTCACTGGCTGAATCATAGAGTAGTGAGTGTGAAGGAAGAAGGGCAGAGAAGGGGGGGGGGGAGATCAGGAGCAGAAATGGAGAAAACTCTAGAAGGAAACCAACACTCACTAATTTTGCCTATGCTATAATTTACATAAAACTCAAAAAGGGGGCCCCAGTGAAAAGAGGCACGCCTCTCCCCAGGGATGCCCTGTGGCTACAGCTGTCTTTTGGAAGGGCAAGTCCAGACACAAGTAAGTGTGGTGAGCTGTCAGGAGGTGGGCAGGCTCTAGTTTTACCTGCTGTCACAACTCAAGGTGTGTGTGTGGTGCAGGGAGGGGGGGGGGAGCTCCAGCCTGCTTCTCCCTGTGCAACACCCCCCCACCACTTCCTGAACTGCAAGTTCTGATGATTGGAGCTCTGGTTCCGTGCAGGCCTGAGGGCAAACCTCTCGTTCTCAATTTGTTCACCTTTGTCCACCCTTAGACATGGAGATGTTAACAGGGAAAGTAAAGCCCGGCGCTGGTGGCTCACGCCTGTAATCCTAGCTACTCAGGAGGCTGAGATCTGAGGATCGCGGTTCAAAGCCAGCCCGGGCAGGAGAGACCATGAGA